TTATCTCACTTACAAAACTATGGATCCAATACCAACAGACATTGAAGCGATGGAAAAATTAGAAGAGAACACCAATCAAACAAAAATGAATGCAAAATGTTGTACTAGAAATTTCATGTCAGCAGTAACATGAGTTGACAATATATAAATTGCTATAATATTTTTTTATCTGTTTAGTTTAATATCAATTTTCTCAGTAATACCATTAGTTGCAATAACTATTGGTCTTTATTTTCAAAATCAGTGTCCAATCAATCACTGGATTCCTGTGTGTTTAGTTATTTTGGGTTCATCAAGTTTAGGTCTAGTTCTTTTTGTTGCCCTGTGTCTCTTGTAAGTATTTATTTCATCTCTCTAGATTTTTTTGAAACGTATTGATCTTTTATTCTTATATCGAATAGACATGTCAGTTTAACAAAATTTCCCGATGATTCAAATTCAACACGTGCATACAAATGTCGATATTGGATAATTAATTGTATTATTATTATAATCATGATCATATTCATTCTATGCATATTTATTTTTAACGGTATCTTCTTAGCAATAAGACGTAATGTCAAAAGAAAAATTCAATTTGATGATTCAACAGAAATACACACGTATTGCCATCCAATTGCATATTATAGTATTGCAACTTTTACGATCAGCACATTGTTATTATCAACTATCTGCTGTTTGTACATTCGTGCACGATGAGAATCGTGATTATCATATATTGACTATTACATAGAAATTGAAATTGAAGATTTAAATTTCAGCTGTTTATTATTATGACTATCGGTCATCATACATTTTCAGTTAGATAATTTAGTTTTTCTTGGATGATCATATGTATTGTTCTGTCTTGTCAAAGAGAAATCATTGATATGACACTTTATGTGAGAAAGACGGAATGTTCTTGAAGATATAGCTACCAACCAAAAAATTAGCTACGAACAACAATGATTTGTATTCCATTCAATACACATTGGAGAAGGAAAATTAGATTAGAATCACATCGAACAAATTGTGTTTGAAAAATGAAAATACCTTTCTAGAGTCAAAAAAAAATGCATATACGATATTAATAAAGTAGAAAATATGTGAGACGAATACATTTAAATGAATATGAGATTTCTAAACTTCGCGAAGCTCAGAGATGAGTAAAAAATTTGAAGATCTTCCAGAAACGGAACAATCAATCAATTCTCTAATGCGCGGAGTTACCGAAAACCTTGATGTTTGCTTTAGAAACCCTATAGATTTGGACTGAAGCGTTAAAAACGAAAAGGGCTAATTTTCGCTCTGGTAAAGTGTATAGTTCTGTTTTTCTGATGTTAATTCAATTTCAGAAAATATACGATATGGGGAAGTCATCACGCATTGCTTACTATTCGGTGAATGGGAGAAGAACAAGAATGCGTGTATCTCGATGCTATCGAAACTTTGATCAATTCATGAACCTTTCTTATTCTATACTTTTGAGCTGATATATTATCGTCTATGCGTCTGTACAATTCTGCACACTTTATACATGACATTCTGTCGCCACGATCTCAACTCTGCCATATTGCTTGTCCATATAATAAAAAATTTGAACATTTTGCAACAGTCATTCAATTAGAACAAAATTATTTGACAATTCTGTGTTCAGAAATTTATTTTCATGCGATCTTTTGGAGACACCAAACACAGATCGACAGTGAGAAAAAATCAATTAGCAATAGCACAAGAAACTTTTGGTGAAAAGATTATTTGAGACACTATAATATTCGCACAAGCAGATGTATAAACAAAAACAAATGGCGTTTTCTGTTTAGATGCGTCAGTAATTAAACTATTTGTGTCAAAGTTAATGCGTGATTATCACGTGACCGGGATAAGTCCTATTTTCAAAGTTTGTTTTCTTTTTTTCACGCTGAAGAAAGCACACAAGAGCTGCAATACTGTTATTTTTTTAGAGAAAATAAAGATTTTGTAAAAAGAATCTAGAACATCATTTTCGAATGACATTTTTTCAAACGTTATTCTACCATCATTTTCACAATTAACAAACCACTTTTTATTTTTAATCCAAAAAACGATCTTCGAAACGGTTTGCTGATTTTTCCATTTTTGCTTTTGTAAATTCTGAAGATTCATGTTTCAAAAAAAAAGAATTCGAATTTATCTAATTGAAGTAAATTTCTTTGTATAAATTTTTCCCATCATTTTCCATGGAATAATGTACCAGAAGCAATTAATTTTAGATGTATGAGTGATGATGTGAGGGAAAGAAATGCTTCAATCAATTGAATCTCAAGAAAATAGGTTTCGATAAAAAGTGAAATCATTCGTTCGAATTTTATCGAATTAAATAATACAATTGTCTGATCTTTCATATTATCTCTCAATCCATGTTTCAATATTAATGTTTTTAATAAAGATATAGATTGAAGTAGAGTACATAAATCATTTAATGTTATACCTATATGCATTGTAAAATATTGCATTGAATAAATCGTTGATCATACTATGTTCCAAAATTGATTTTGTTCAAGTTTTCAAAGTTTGCTTTGTGAAAGAAATGATGTGAGTCGAATACTTATACTGCATGAATCAATTGAATTGATAGTGATTTGTTTTAAAATTGATTTCAAATAAGATTCATGAATGTTGAATAATTTTAATGAATGAAGTGGAGCAAATTGCTTAATGTAAACAATCGAAAGAATTAGTTCAACATGATTTGGTACTGGATTATTATCAAACAGTGTAAGTGAAGTAATATTTTGAAATTTCATTAGTCGACAAAGACGATTCAATTGAAATTGTGATATCGCGTAATAATCAAAATTGTATTGATCATATGTATTTGTAAGAGTATAAACTCTTTGACATATTTGACGAATAGAGAATAGTATATTTCAAACATTATTTTATATAGATAATATACTAATTGAGAGAACTAATAGATCTTCACACTCCTACTACATCCGACTAGACTTGTTATAGTCTATGATTGTTTGATCCAGTTTCAAAACATATATTTCAGAATAAAATGTACCATCATTTTATGAAGAAAAAAGACACATGAGCTTCCACTGCAGAAGCATCGATCAATAATAGTTGTTATTCAATCTTTTACTGATGAAATATCAAGAGAGAAATAGCGTATTCCTGTATTCCTTAGTGCTTCTTCGTAATCCTTGTACTTCTCAAGTTCAGAATACGCTGTTTCTCCTTTATGAAACATGCATCTTTAATCGGCACGTTGATCGAATCCTGCTGTTTCTTCTTAAATTACAATGGCATGTTTTGTCAAGATATTGGTTCGCTCATAACATCGTGAGATTGGGCACGAACTACTGGCCAAAATATAGTCGAACAAATTCAAAAAAGAATATTTTTTATCCTATGGTCAATGTCAAAATATGATGACTGTCTCATCTCTGTCCTGCGCAAACTGAAGTCCTTGTCTATTTTCTTTCTGTTCTCTGTCGATTCAATAGGACTGTTAAGATTCGTTCGTTACCATTTGTTTTTTTATGCATCTATTAGAGTCAATTTTTTTGTGTCGAAAAGATCGATTCGCTTTGCATTTCATCCAAGTTTGCAACTGTGTCAAATAGTGTATTGTAAATCGAATGAGTGCAAAGACAGAACAAATCATTCAGTGATTTAAATGCAACTGGTAATCTGTCGACTTCGACAACAGTATCAAAAAATACTAATAAACGAATCTCGAGTGCGGGAATGAACGATGTGGACATATTCTTCAAGTGTTGTGACATATGCTGCAATCTGGTACGATGTTTTATTCGATGATTTCGAAGGACATATCACATTAATGCCTTTCTGCAGATTATTCATTCATTTCATACCTTACTCTTTTTATTTAATTTTTGTACTAGTATATTATTTTTCGAATAGAGACCCCATATACTTCGCATATCCTTATTAATCTTTTATTAAATAATATGATAACAGAGAAGACAGAAATTGTTCTAGATGATTTAATCTATGTTCATTATACGATTGGACTCAGACATACGCTAGTTTTTGGATTCAGGGTTGAAGACATGTAAGAATGGTCGATTTAATTTCGATACGATCATGAGAATTGATTATATGATGTGATGAATTGCTCGTCACATGGTTAATATCCTTGTGTGTCAGGCACCCAGCTGCGTATCATCATCGTTCATCTTCCCCTCTTCTCATCACTTTTTCTCTCTTACATGTCACGGCTTATCTGTTCTCTTTTTCTTTCTCCTCCCTCTACATGTCTATATATACTCATGCGTGTATGTTGTTGCATCAAACAATAGATTCACGAGCCTCATGCCCGTCACATATGAGTCTTCATTGTAGACTTACTCTTTGTTTAAAAGTTTTTCCATGTGAATCAAGTGATGAACAGATAGAATATTGTGTCTAATACGATTTCAGTTGGTTACATTCGCCAATAAACAACTTTCATGTTTCAAATATCATGTTATGATTCCTATCTAGAAATTCATTTTCGAATCAGATGAATCAAAGAAATCAGCCATGTCTAGTCTTGCTTCGCTTGATTTAACGGGAAAATTCAGTTTCAAAGCAATCTCTAGCATTCTAGTCGACTTTAGGTGAAAAACCTCTTGTTGAAATGAAGTACATTGTAAAAGCGACGAATTACTTGTCGACCGGACAAAATGAAGCTTTTTCAGAATCTGAAGTGTTCACAAAATAAAATTGAGTTTGCACAATCGAATAACGGATGTTCAAAAGGACTGAAGATGCAACAGCAGAGTATCAAGCATGGCATCTGCCATGAAACTCGATTTGAAGCACGTAACGAGATATAACACAAACAAGTACTTTCGATTGTGACATCAAAGATTCAAAACGAAAAGAGCTAAAAGTTCTTCAAATTTTTTTCTTGAATAAATTATTGATTTTATTCAAATAAAAACTGATATGTCAATAAAAAGAATTCTAGTTTAATTGAAAGTCGAACAAAACAGCTTTTCGTGACATTCTATTGAATGTCGACTTTAAATGTAGATGCGTACAAAAGCCTCTATTTCTCTTCGACAAACTGGACATGTTCGAAGTGAATGACCACAGGGAACACAAGTTGCCAAATGTCCACATGGAATACATGCAAGACGTTTATCTTCTGTTAAACAAAGTATACACAAATTCGACGACGCTAAATCTGTTATCAAACTAGCTTTTATTTCTGTTGTTGATTGAGGATCGACCGTTGCAATTGTTGATTTTGATTCGGTTATGTTATTAGTATTCGATGAATTTGACGAAAATGATTCGTTCGATGTTGGTGTGGATGATGATGAACCTATTTATTTACAAGCGAATACTAATATGATCATACAAATAACTGACAACATACTGGATTGTTCTGTCTCACGAATCATTTTCATCTTGATACTCGGTACAATAATGTTTTCTTGACGACCATTGATATGATCAATTTGTTTTTGAAGAATAATACAAGCAATTAATAAATCACAATCTGTAGCAAAATCATTTTCTAAACAAAAAAAATAGAAGAATATAAATTTAATTGAATTTAAGTTACGAACGTTTTAATCTTAGTTGATCCTCCCAGCAACGTTTGATAACTGATAATTTGAAATTTCGATTGAGTAAACTTTGTGAAATAGGCAAATCGAGTCGAGCAGCAACAAATCGTGACAATGTGTTCTCATCAGGAATCATTAGTTGAGAATTGTTTGCTCGATGATTGTTCGAAAAATCTTCATTTCTCTCTTTTTGATTTGTTCCAGCACGTTCTTATAAAATAAATCAATAAATTGTTTTTAAACTTGTATCCTTTCTTCAATAGAAAAAACGACAAACCTTGACGAATTCGTTTTGATTCTTGAACTTGTCGATATAGTTCATCGTCGCATAATTGTTTAGCGTAGGCACAAAGTGGAAACCAACGTACATGTTCAATCAATGGATTATCTTTGGGACCCCAATTTTGAAGTGATCCGTTACAATAAAAACAGGTAACAATTGTTTTTGAACCAGTATAAAAAAATCCTGCTCGAACAAGATCATCAACAGAAGGTAAGTCTTCTTGAGGCCAAGAATTAAATGATGATTGACGTTTCCAAATTTCAACATAGGCTCGATGAAATGCTGATGCTTGAGCTATTTCATTAAATCGCAATAGATTAGATGTTACTGCTCGATTATTCGAATTATCATTAAGAATTGATGCAGTTGATGTTTGACGAGTTTTTAAAATAAATAAAACATATGGACATAGAGATGAAAGAGTTTGATGTACTTCCTCTGGATCATCAATATGTGGTGTCCATTGTTGACAAATTAAATTACAATACAAACAAATGACACGATCACCAACATTACAATAAAAAAATCCAGCTGAAATCATTTGTGTTCGAGATAGTACTTTCTGATGAGGCCAATGTGAAAATGTTCGACAACGAACTTCTTTCATTATCTCTACTTCTATCAGACAATGGTCGATCTTTTGATCGATTTTTTTATGTTTCAATAATTTTTCTTGATTATGTGATAATTCAAAGTTTTGGTTCTCTGTTATTGAACCATCTGAAGAAGAAAAGTTTATTTGATTCTTTGATACAATCGATTGAACGAATGAACAATTTGGACTCTGTTGAACATGAACAGTAAATGGATTCATGTGTGCTGTCCATTCAGATACTTTTAGACCACATGTGAGACAATGAGCAGTATCATCAATGCCGGTGTATGTGAAACCAGCCGCATTGATAAGAATGGATGAATGAACACCTTGCTTCTTCAACTGTTTACAAACATCAACTACACGACGATAGATTTCATTTTTCCAAGCAGAGCTTCGTTTTTTCTCATCAATACATTTTGACAAATCAATATCTTTTTTTATTGATAGCATTGATAGCACTATAAACAATGGTTTACTTTTGAAGTGTTTAAGTGATTTCAATGAGCTACTTTTTTCGTTTGTGTCTATCAGAGAAAAGTTATTTATCTTAATGCTGATTGTATATATACTAACCCACTTGAGAACGAGACTTACATACAGATTGAGAAATTTCTCAATGACTAATTGCAAATAATAGTGGGAAACATTGATATAAGAAAATGATTGGATATGTCGACTACTGTGCTATTCTAAATGCCATTACTGAATATATATTCCAATTTTGATATTTTCGTTCCATTTTCCATCACAGTGATATAAAAAAACTAGTTGCTACAAGAAAGTACTGAAATAACTAACTGACGATTATGAGAGACCTCTAGTCATACTTTAGTGCCATCTATAAAGTGTAAATCATCATTGGTATATTAATATTGTCAGGAATTAAATTTTTTCACTACTTGACGACCAACAATAAACGATTAAGGCTTTCGAATTAGAAAAGCAAACAAAAGATTTAAATTGACATCTCTACACATGCCTTTTTACTTCACTATCAGGTGCAATACGAAAAGTTCGATGATATATTGTTGGCTTTTAAGAGTAGCTGTTAGTGATGTAGCCATAGGGAAGTCATTGTTCCTTTGTCAGTGATTCTGTATCCTCTGTAAATATCTCTTTCTTAGCCAAAAACGATGTCTGTCCTATTGGTGAAGTTTTTTTTGCGCTTAACTTTCGTCTGTAAAAATTTTCTAATTTTACTCTCAGTAACCAGAAAAAGTATATCCGTAGATCGAACAATCAAAGACAAATTGAATGATTATTTGATAAAAGCCTACTTTTTTGCCAATTCTATGAGCATCTTAGGAGAAAACTCCTACCTGAAAAAATAAATAAAGTTTGTTCTTGTATTTGTAAATGGAGTTCTCCAAGATTTATGTTCTTATCAGTCTCCTGCCATTTATTAATATGCGGAAGTTGACTCATATTTGCGTCATTTTAGTTGGAAAGAAGGAAAAACTTTCTCTTCATTCGAAGAATGATGCATATGAAAATGAATCATTGCATTGCATCACTAGATATTTAACTCTTGAACAGTTCTAAGATAACATGAACATTTGACTCAAGGCAAACATCTCAAGTTTATTTATACGAGTGAACCATGAAAAGAAAAATATTCCAGAAAAAGCGATTGTTTCTGAATCTTTGAAATTAGGAGCATATATTTCTCGAGATGAGTAAAATACGCCTTGACTCACTCTGCACACGCTATTTATGTCGGTCCAAGACCATAGAGCAATAACAAATGATTCAATCAATAAAGTTTATGCACAAAGAAAATATTTCTGCAGAAATATTACTCTCACAAGTTTTTTTCAACCATGTGTCGCTACTCTACGGGTTGGTACAACACTGTTTGATGATTTGTGTCAACTTTGAATCACACAAGACTTCGATATATCAATGTCTAGCACCTATGAGCAACACAGCATGATGAGCTGAGAGATAAAAAAAATGTTGTAGAAGAAGGAAAAAGGACTACTCAATGATCGCAGTGAACCACTCACGCGCAGTTTTTCTTGCATTGAGCTTTCTGTGAATTTTCACAATGTTTTTGCAATCTCTAACAATAGGTCAAAAATTCAGTACAATGGACAGAACTCGGCATCTATAGGCCATGGACTCGAATCATCTTAAGATTTTTTTCTCATCTTGATATACTCTATCGAAGGAGGAATGAATGAGTGCTAAGGGACTTGGACACTTCACTCATGAGTGCATTGTTTGATTATATGACATATATCATTCTCGAATGTAGTAACATCCAAGCAACACACACGATGTGCGTCATTTCGTGAAGAGGTGTGCCAATCTGTGTTTTCTTTCTTACGCCATTTCACTGATAACTTAATCTGCAAAAAACATAAATGAAGTAAAAAAATGACTGTCCCATTTAGGCCATTGCGATTAATGTAAACTCTTATACAAGAATACACACATAACAATCCACGATGCATATGAAATCGTGTATGTGCCTTAGGTTGTCAATTGAGCATCGATCAAGATTGCTATGAGAAAAAGCTTTTAGTACGATCTTTACGGAATTGAAATGCGAAACACGATAGAGTCAGTTTAGTCTTAAACGAAAACCTTAACTACATTTATCCCTAACTATGATGCTGTCAGAATGGTATTTTCTAAAATCTATTGCGGTTCCAGCGAGATAGAAGAAAAAAAAGCTTGATTGATGAACATGTTGAAATTTGTTCCTTCAAGCTGTATTCTGGGAATGATAGCTTGAAGTTATTTATTATGCTAATTGGCTTTTCTATGATAGAATTAGAATTAATTTGGTGAAAGTTGAATCAATAGATTATATGTAAATTAATTCAAAAGTGATCTTTGATCAGTTGCCTTTTAGAGTGTGTGGGTGTGAATTAAACGAAGGATCAGACCCCCTCACACCCACACCCTACTCTCACTCATGTCCATCCATCGACCAACGCATGATAGTTTTCTTTCATAAAGATATCTCCAAAATCAGCCTCCGGCTATCAAAGATGTTTTTTAAATTTCACAAAGGGATTTTGTACTGTTTGTTATCGACTGCATATAATTTAACAGTTCATTTTAGTCATGAAAATTTCTGGTTCAAAACTAAGGTAATTAACAATTTTATGCTGAAACGTTTCCTGCAGTTATTATAACGCTATAAACTATTTTAGATAAATGATTGTGAGACTGAATGTGAGTGTCAAGATCATGGCAATCTACTATTCATCTAAACGCGCATCCAGCGATACCTGTATGATATCCGAAATTGCTAGCAGCCTACGCGAATAGCTGCCTATAATAAAACCAACAGTTTGGAAAAGTGCCTGTTTTTATGCATATTCGTATTCAGTTTGAATTCAATGAGTGCATCGAATGTCAACGAAAATTAGCAAATACTTTATACTTAGCTTAGATTTCAGCAACACTGATACCATGATCAATCCTTAGTGTTCAAAAAACTCGATACTATCTGTCGTTCTGTGGTGAAGATGGGGGCTCCTATGATAGCGATTTCTTAATGTTCATTTTCTCTATCGTACACTTTTTTTGACATCTAGTTGGGATATTGGCACTTAGACTAAGCTTTTCGAATCCGATTGCTAGTCTGCAAGAGTAGTTCAATTAGTTGCTCGGTTTTTTTTTCACAACTCAATTTTCAATATTTGATTTCTTGTGATTGTTTTCACTCTAGAGAAAAAAATGTTTACTTTCGACATCTATTAACCAGCAATCAACTCTAGCTGTCTGCATCAATTGTCAAAATTGCATCTTCTAGTAATAAAATATAAAATAACAGTCCTTTTGAAAAGATTTGTTTTATACTAATTATCTGAATTGAGAAACATATTTGCCTATTGCAAACGTAGTTTATCATTTGATTAAATATTTACTGATCCTATTATAAATACGCATTTTAATCTTGTAAATCATATGTAACTGACATGTGTATGATGCCATTTTTCTTCACCTGCTCGTCGTGCAAAAAAAAAGAAATATGGAGGAATGAAGAAAAAAACTGACTCGGACTGCACAAAGAAAGTCAACAGAATTGTTCGCTGATTTACAATGCTTGATCGTCATCGTGACGATTTGTTTGGTTGTTTTGTTGATGATTTGACATTTTTTATACATTCCAATTCCGTGTAACTGACAACTAAATCACTTTTCTGTTGAAGACCATAATACGAACTTCAATGATCATCAAAGGCAATTGATAGGAAACGATTTAAAACTTTGTATATTGAATACTATCAACAGGTCAGTGAAAAATAATATAACTTTCCTTTGTTAAACCCATTTCTAAAGAATAGAATATGATATATAATTCTATTAGGATCACGGATGGTTGTCAAATATGGTAATTATCCTGTGATAAATACATTTGTTAATGAGAGTCCTAGAACATAATGAGCCACTGTTCTTTGTCTGGCTGCATAGATCGTGACAAACTTATCGATATGCTTTATTTTTTCGTTGTCACGAGTTTTCATCAATCTAAACAGAATCTATAGATACGGTTTGACTGATTCTCTCGTTCTCCATTTTAATCCCATAGGAAGCACACTGGAAGTTTTTTCTGTTTTTTTTTCGTATATAGCATAGAGACAATGGGAAATGGTGCATTAGATAAACGTGCTCCGTCCAGTCATATTCAAGGTATCGCATCTACAAATGTCCCAGCATACTCAAATCATGGAACTAATTCATTTCGAGAGAATTACCTTTATGGTGTCTATACTGGAGTTCAATGGCAGTGTGTAGAATTCGCTCGTCGTTGGCTCTTATTGCGTAAAGGTTGCATTTTCTCTAATATCGACATTGCTTCTAAGATTTGGCAATATATATCGTATGTTGAACGTGTCACTGACAGTAAAAAGTTTCGATTAATACCTCATTCAAACGGTTCAAAGAAAAAACCACAAAAAGATTCATTTCTTATTTATCCACGTAGTCTACGAATGCGTGTCGGACATATTGCTGTTATCACCAATGTGGATCGAAACTATGTCTATATTGCTGAACAAAATCGTGGATTTCATTATTGGTCTTCTGACTATGCTCGTCGAGTACCACTCATTTGTACACATGATGACGGTTACTTTATCGATGATAATTGTAAACTTTACGGATGGATGGAAATCGAAAACAACGATCAGTTACAACCATTGAATGCATCGAACATTCAACAAATCCTAGAAAAATATCAGACATTTGATGAATAAAGTAAAATTGACTTTATTAAACTTTTTATCTTAATAAATGGTTGTCACATAACTAAAAGCTTAGCTTCGAAATACAGGGTGTGGGTGTTGGTTCGAACGTGCTGGTAGATCAGAAGAACACCCACACTCTCACTCACGCCACATCCACACAGCCGCAACCACACCCATTTCCTGTATCTGCATACACACTTCGGCCAAGAAAGATATCAGTATAGTTGAAATGAAAAAATCAAA